TCTCTCTCTCTCTCTCTCTCTCTCTCTCTCTCTCTCTCTCTCTCTCTCTCAGAAAAATGAATACGAAGGATCGAATTAATTTTTGAATAGTGACAATATATTTTGGAATATAAGCAATTGAAATTGTTAGACAAAGCAACATAACGGTATGACAGATAGAGCTGTCTGTCTAATCTAACCTATATCAACGTTTGTGTTTTTTTCGATCTTCACGAAGGTGTACCAGGTGAATATATTAACACTTTGTATACGATTAATCATATTTGAAACAAAGGTTTGGAATAATAATAAATGTTCAAGTGTCCTTTAAGGTATGTCTTTTAGGATATCACGTAATATGAATAGTATCGACGAGAGATGAGTTGAAGGATCAATAGGTATTGTACATTGTCTTCAGAAGCGTGTCACAAGTTAACTATGCTTACGACCGAGTTAAGAATTCACGTCACTTAACAATTACCAATTTCATACGTTCACCTGTGACCACCCACGCTAACATTAAAATCGATTGGCATCGACAGGTATGCATTCGAGTTTGAATACCAGCCTGTTATTAATAATATCGTTTACACGTTTTTTTTCTTTTTGCAGTGTTGACAACATCAGAACTCTAACGTCTCTTTATAATTTGATTTGATTATAAACGAACCGATCGTTTCATGCCCTTTTAACACTTTCCAAACCGGAAATTGATTGCCCAACCTGTTTACCGAATAAATTATTATATAGTTACATTGCAATTTTTGAGGTTATGTAATCGCTGTATTGATTTTTTTTTAGAAAGACTTCTCGAGCGTTACATCGTATTAAAAAATATAAATTATACGTAGAAAATTTGACCAGGATTTAATTTAAATTAATGTTTAAATTAATTGATCTTCGAATCGTCGCTTTTGGTGCGTTTTATCAAATAACTTTCAACTTGCATTCCTTCCTTTCTTCTTAACCTTATATCTCATGAAAAAATGTAAATTATACGTATTAGTACAACGACTTTCTAATCTAGAAATAGCAAAGGAAAGATGTTATCGATCGAACCTAATATCCTCGACGAAATGAAGCCTAATGTCGTTAATTTGTCGTCAAGAAAATTCAACGAAGAACGATCGGACTGTGCGCAACTATGCGAGCAACTAATTGATACGGAAACTTATATACTATATATATGTACGTTGGAAAGATTGATCGGCACGCTTATAATTGTTGGGCCTTAATTAGAAAAAGCATATTTCTTGAATAATTAAATAATAATAAACTTGATGAATTAGAGTTTTTTTTACGGTTAATGAAATTGTGAAAAATCGATCGGATTTTTTTTTTTTTTGAAGACAAAAAATACTTTAATAATTTACCACAGAAAATATTTTCAATTATGACGATACTTAAGTCTAAGGAATTCGATAAACTTCTTAATTGCGTTTATGCCATTTAAAGCTCATTTTTACGTAACGATAATGCCAACTGTTAACGATAATTATGTTTTTATATATTTTATATATTTTACTTGAGCGATAAAAATGCAAAATTATTCTCATTTTTATTTCAATTTTTCAGCCGGTATCGACTGAATTTTGAATATTATTAACGATCCATCCACCTAATAATCCATCTGGTTATTTGTCAAAAACTTTTACGTCAACTCGATACGTCTAATTTGAATCTTTGGACGGAGTTTATCTCTGAAATTGTTGCTTCAAAAAAATATTTTCAGTCGCAAAAAACTTATTCACTTCAATTCCATGAAATTTATTCTTCTTCTCAAATCGAGATATATGAATGTCAAGAAAATCATGCGGATTAATCAAATTGTCGTTTGTATAAATCTTTCGAGAGAGACGTTGGAACGACGATTTATCACTATAAAAATTAAAACGCTAGCCGCGTTTTTTTTTTCCCCCAAGATCATTGCGATCTTCAAATTTGCTTGACACGAGCTCGAAACGGTTGAAATAATCAAAATTTTATCCGTTACAGTTTATTATTGTAAATTGTGAATCACGCAGCGAGAATACGAGGTGACAATTCGAATATTTCTTCGCTCGAAGAGAAGGGTTTGGGCCCGAATCTCGAGTCTTTAGTCGACGAGTTGGAAAAGTAGGGGGATTTTAGGTGAAATTTACTCTTTTCTTTTATTTTTCTTCTTCCTCTTCTTCTCCCTCCCGCGAAACGAATTCCCATGCACGATTAAAACGATTGGCAATCGATCGAAGTAATCGAACGAAGTAATAAAAAACGGAGCGAAAAATGGAGCAACACGCGAGATAAAAATTCGATTCGATGTATAAATATAATTGCAATGATATTTATACGGCGGCTACAAATTATATTTCGAGTTATTTTCGACGATCGCATTGAAATACGCGGGACAGATTAAAAGCAATAATTCATCGCGCATAACGAGACGCTATCTACAGACGGTAATAACAGTCTAAACTATAAAAACGTGTATACACGCATAGGCCACTGTAATTGATGCAATTAATTACAAACTGTTGAATGACCAAACGTCACTACGGACAATGCGATTCGTGTTTCCAAACGCGATAACATTATCTCGGTGTTTATTCTAAGCAACGAGACCGCAGAAACGTCGGCCTTTTTAAGAAAGAGTAGTTTCATGCGTACACAACCGACTCTTGGGATAAGGAAATAAAGAACGAAAATACAAATACTCATTGTTCGTGGCGGATACGGAATATCGGGGAAACCGGTTAT